ATTAATGGCAAAATCGGTACCAAGGGAGATATCCCAGAGCTAATAAAAGACGGGGTGTTGTAGAGAGCCTTGGTAGATTGATAGGGTATAGAACCGGGTCTGTCCTGCTATTTACCCATAGCTGGGTGGGGAGAGAAGAATAGGATTCATACCTTTCCCAAGGGTATTAGCACGTAAGTGAATGTAATGGATTCGACTGGAATTCGAACTCGGCTCTCCGATTCCTCAATCCAAGCCGCTATCCATTACTCCACCATGCCTCATTGAAGTCAGTTATGTGCCATGCGTGATACACGCATAGGCGATCATGTATCTTTCCATATATCACTGACAAGGCAGATTTTTCACCGCAGTAGGTTGCCATTTCTTTCTGCGGTAGACCAGTTACCATCCAAGGCTATAGAACCCGGTCTGTCTTGCTATTTACCCATAGCTGGAGGGAGAAGAAGAAGATTCATACCTTTCCCAGTAGTATTAGCGCGTAAGTGAATGTAATGGATTGGACTGGATTTCAAACTAATCTCTCCGATTCACTTATGTGACATGCGTGATACATGACTGACGAGGCATATTTTTTCTTCCCGCAGTAGGTTGCCATTATTTTCTGCGGTAGAACTGTTGCCATCCAAGGTTATAGAACCCAGTCTTTACTACTATTTACCCATAGCTGGAGTGGAGAAGAAGAGGATTCATACCTTTCCCAAGGATATTAGCACGTAAGTGAATGTAATGGATTCGACTGGCATTCGAACTCGGCTCTCTGATTCTTCAATACAAGCCACTATCCATTACCCCATAAGAGCAGTTAAAAGAATTGCGCTTATCTTCTTTTGGAATCAGGGCAACTGAAAAAAGAATTGTTTCCTAACGCGGAAAGGAGCCTGGAAGGAGTACGTCAGGAGGACATTGAATTGCCCTAGGCGAACTACTTATTCGTTAATATCAATTCTCTTATTTTAAATATCCAGGCATAACTCTTATATACCCGTAGGTACACGTGTATGAGTAGAAGTTCACATACCCGGAAGTACAAGAGACACATGTCAAGAAGTAAAATTGGTGAGAGGTTCAGATAAAGAAAACAAAAACTTCAAATTAGAGTTCGTAATAACTGCTTCTGATAAGACAACAATAAATAAAGCGGTTAATAAAAATGACTGACATCAAGTGGTGGAAATATGTTTGGAAAGATTTATGACTGTTTGAAACGAAACTGAATAATTACGACCACCTTTGTTCTATTATTGTTAACGCATTTGCAGGGTGCGATGGATAAATTGTTGTGCACATGATGCAAAAATGAAAATAACGCTGACATCTCATTCTAACAGATATATTTACCAAAGTTCTACAAAGAAATATCTTGAAATACGATAGAGCAAAGTTATTTAATAAAATCGCCATTGGCTTCAACCACGGCCTTCCAGAGAACGTCGGGATCTCTTGCATCTCTTCTGGTCAGTCTCTTTATTTAAGTTGGTAAAATCCATAATCCTTGTCATTCAGTTCATCTTTGGTGTTAGAAGGCGTTTTGTTGGTCTCTCGCCCCATGCATAATAATCAAGGGGTTTGCAGTGTGGGTTGTTTGCTAGCCAGACATTATCTGACAGCTATGACTGGCGTCTCTTGGATGGTGCCAGATATAGGGACTTCCAGCAGCCAACCACTTGACCCAGAACACTACCTCCGCAAGGAACTTGATGTAGACCACCGTGTTGAGTCAGATGTCCTGTAGGAATATGAATTAGAATATATATAAAAATGTAAAAATATGTATATATATATATGTGCTCCCTCATATTCATATATATATATATATATATATATATATATATATATAGTCTCCCTGAAAATGTAATATATATATATATATATATATATATATATATATATATATTTGGATAGATGTGAGTTTGTGACCCTGGGTTTCACGCTTTAGCGACCGTCAGACCTGACGATCGCTAAAGCGTGAAACCCAGGGTCACAAACTCACATCTATCCAACCAAATATGTTAGCTCTATCTCTGATATTGAGCGCTTTCTAATAAGTACTGCGCATATAATATATAAATAATTATACATATATTTATTTATATTTATATACACTTTTCACACACACACATACACACACACACACACACACACACACACACACACACACACACACACATATATATATATATATATATATATATATATATATATATATATATATATATATATATATATAACTCCTAAGACACCTGCCTGGGCCAAAAATAATTTGGCAGTTAATGGGTTAAGTTAGTGAATGCTGCCATAATCCTTGCCTTCAGTTCATCTTTGGTGTTACAAGGAGTTTTGTTTGTCTCTCGTTCAACTGCCCCCCCCCCCCCATAATAATTAAGGGGGTTGCAGTCTCGGGAGTCAGGTGGCCAGCTGTAAGGGGAGATGTGGTCGGAGAAATTGCTTGACGCCCGTTACAGGGTTCTCCTGTTTGTGTGGCATGGTGCAGATTCCTATTACCAGATATAGGATCTTTCTGCAGCCACCCTTTTCATCCAGAGCAGACTTACCGCCTCAAGGCACTTGATGTAGGCCACCCTGTTGAGTCTGAGGCCCTTCTCTCTCATTGAGAGATGTGCAGATTGTGTAATCAATAACAGTTTCGGATAAGAAATCAGAGTTCTCTTCCCAGCTGGGTTTGTTATATTCACTTACGCGCAAATAGGTACGAATCTATCTCATCCCCCAACTAAGGGTTAAATAGTTGGACTTATATCTGAAAAAAATCAGTTTTATTTAAAAAAAAATGTGAATACAATTGTCATTCGCAAAAAAAGAAAAAAAAATATTCGTACAATCCAAATATGCTTTGATTTAAAAAAAAAAAAAAACACAACGGGTTGACAAACCGTAAAACAACAAATCGATCAATTCCCCATTGAGCCGCCAAAGCAAGGTTAAAAGAGAGATCAGCTGTTTTTTTTTTCTCTGTCTGCATTGTGGACTGGCGCTACAGAATCACACAAAAGGATCTTTACCAAAGACAGCAATCACTTGTGGACTTCTCTCTAGTATGATGATAAACTATATCCGGGAGAAAGGCCTTTGATTAGGAGGTTTTAAGGAGCGTGAAACCCTCTCTTAATTGCTGTTGTTCCCAGGTCTACCCTGACCCAGGATGGTAGCACCTGTTAGGGTCCCAGATATGGGCAAAAAGTTAACCTCAAAACTGCTGTTAAAACACTAAAAAATTTAAAAAAGAATTTTAGTAAAAATACCAGCAATACATTTTTGTCAAAGAAATTAATAATGTACACAAGAAAGTTAAATTTCGGCATTAAATGACCCATAAGAAGTTGATATGCTTCTTGTAGGATACCTATAATAAGACGATAATGAGTATGTCACCATTCCCATAGATACAGCAGTAAATACTGTATGTGTTTTCTGCGGTCGGAGAACTGTGCCGAGCAGAGTGGATCCCCAGACGAGGCTATGTCGAAGGACAGAGTCGCGAATTGGAAAACAGCTACCCGACTCCGTTTTATACGGAGTGTACGGGGAATTTTGTTGACTACTTCTACGCGCCGCTGGCGAATCTTATATGTGTTGTTCTTGTCCTAAGTATTAGCGTTCATTACTAACCTTTGTGTGATTATTCTGTTCAGTAACTTTCCCTAGGTTACTGCACTACTGAACAAACAAACAAAAAAAAAACTTGAAGACTTCTAACAGCAGCAACAACTAAAATGGATAGCACATGGAACTCAAAGAGAAAATAATAGCACTATCAAGATTTTAACATTCCACACCACTTCCAATAAAAGATTAGGAAGGTAACATACAATTCGTGATAAAAGCCGAGTTGGGAAACCTGTTTTCCTAAAAAAATAAACTGTTTAAAGATTTGGTTTGTTTTACCACACTAACTGAGCATTATGTATGAATTTTGGTATATCAAAATTTTAGCGCACTAACTGAAAATGCCTTAATTGAGGAATGCATGTACTAATTTATGAAAATTCAGTTGTAGTCGAGTGGTGGGCTCTATATCATAGATTTTTTGTGGGAGAATGGAGCACAAGACCCTTGCACTGGTCTGAGTGTAGCTTTACACACCATACTTGGCCAATTTTGGGTTGGTGAGGCAATTGAATACATAATTGAAGGTTTTGAATTCAGTATTGTCCCTCTCCTAGACCAGTTGCTACCCAAGGCTATAGGACCCAAGCTGTCTTGTTATTTACCCATAGCTGGGGGTCAGAATGGAGTAGGGTCTTTGCACATAAGTGAATGTAATGAATGTGACTTGAGTTCAAACTTGGCTCCCAGATTCCTCAATCTGAGCCACTATCCATTACTTTACTGTCCCTGTATTAAAATATAAAAAAAGAAAATTAAACTTTCATGGAATGACGGCCATCAACGTTTTTTTTTATCCAACTCAGTTTTGTCAAATATTTAAAGTTGGATGCCGAACAGAAACAAAGAATGGTTTGGTTTGGTTTGTTTTACGGCATATCAACCTCCATGGGTTATCTTCAAAAATCTATTTCTGGAAATATTTTTCCTTGAAGAAATCTAGAGCTGGTCATATTTTTTTCAAAGAAAGTATAACTGTATTTTTTTTTAAAAAGTATTGCTGATAAAATTTTTTTCTTCAAAAATTATTGCTGGTAATAATTTTTTTTATTGCAAAGTATTTCTGATATTAAAACCTCTTTTCGAAAGAATAGTGTTGCCGGCTATACGTTTTTCAAAAAAGAATATTACCAGCTATACGTTTCTGGAAAAAATAATATTAATCTTCTATGTCTTTTTTTCTTTATCCCCGCCTTTTTAAAAGAGACTTTTACCTGCTCTCCCTTCTCGAATATTCTTCGCTCCACGTTCCTTCTGGCTCGCTTCTCAATGTTTATAATCTACGTATTTCTTTTCCCCTTTCAAAGCCTGAATTAAACGATGACCTCTTGTTAGTTATTAGTTAATTTGCCTTTATTTTACGTCATGATTTTCTAACGCGGCTGTGAAACCTGCTGTGGTTTCCATGAAAAGGATGATTTGAAGTCATTCGTTAGAACAAGAGAAAAACAAAACTGATCCAACTGGCTCAATAGAAGGCAGCGTGTTGGCAGTTGGGAGGTGAGGCTACGAGAAGAAAGAAAGAAAAAAAAAAGATCGTGCAAATGAAATGATGTAATCAAAGAAAAACAATGAATAACCAGCTTTGAGAAATGTGGGCAGGCGAACCGGTGTTTCTTTTTGCTTGCTTTGCAGTCATAAGACATATTTAAATAATATAGGCGTCGAATGGGGGTCGAGAAAGGGGGAGGTTGCGTTAGAAAGAAAGGAAAGTAGGGTAAGGTGGTTAGACAGGGAGAGGAAAGCAAAAGAGTATGAGTGGGCTCATATATATATATATATATATATATATATATATATATATATATATATATATATATATATATATGGAGAGAGAGAGATAGAGAGGAAGGAGAGAGTGAGAGAAATAGACATATAGATAGATAGATAGATAGATAGATAGATAGATATAGACAGACAGAAACAGCTAGAACATGTTATCAGATAGATAGATATAATAAATGAACAGATGCACACAGACAGACAGATAGATCTGAACAAACTTAGATAAATAGATAGATAGAATCAAACATATATATATATATATATATATATATATATATATATATATATATATATATAGAGAGAGAGAGAGAGAGAGAGAGAGAGATAACTAATGAACAGACAGACACGGATGATAGATAAATAGTGTTATTATGGTAACTTACCCCGCACGCATGGACTCTCCCAGCTATAAATAGGAGCAGTTACTACCTTTTGGAGATGGAAGTTTCCAGCAGTCAGCTCTGACAGTCGGACTGAACGTACTTGCTGTAACACTCTCGTTTGTACTGTTTCGGTTAATATATTTAACTCAATTCCGCTCTTTGTCTCTTAATTTCTGGCCCCTAACAAGGCCACAACAGATAGATAGATAGATAGATAGATAGATAGATAGATAGATAGATAGATAGATAAGGAACAGAATGAGATAGATAGATAGATAGATAGATAGATAGATAGATAGATAGATAGATAGATAGATATACCAAATAAACAGATGCACACAAACTTTACAGATATAGATAAATAGATAGACATAACAAATGAACAGACATAGATAGATAGATAGATAGATAGATAGATAGATAGATAGTCGTGCTGTCGTATGCTGACCGTGTCGCCGATCTTCTGGGGTCTGCGCCAAACGATACATCGTAGCGGGGTACAATTGCACCGCAATTTTGGCGTCTGTCGAACGTGTCAAAATGTGCTGTCGATTATCATATTTACTCTTTTCATGCAATTCTGAACAGAATGAGATAGATAGATAGATAGATAGATAGATAGATAGATAGATAGATAGATAGATATGAACAGAATGAGATAGATTGATTGGTAGGGAGGTAGGTAGGTAGGTAGTTCTAATGGATGAGAAGAGGAAGATTCATCTATCTATCTATCTCAGTCTGTTCATTATCTATCTATCTATCTATGTATAAATACGAACAGACTACGATAGATAGATAGATAATGAACAGACTGAGATAGATAGATAGATAGATAGATAGATAGATAGATGAATCTTCCTCTTCTCATCCATTAAAAGCACTATTCTAAGCTTCGACTCTACTGAATCTTATAACGGAACAATATAATCTTATGTTAGACTACACTCTGCACACATACAAGCACCGATGTAAAGAGATGGGCACTGATCATTTAAACCTTCCATACCACATCTCAGATGTACGATTATGTAGACATTTAGTAGAGTCAGGGCTTGAAAGACAGTTTCTAATGGATGAGAGGAAGAAGATCTATCTATCTATCCATCTATCTATCTATCTATCTATCTGAGTATGCTGATCTATCTCAGTATGTCGATCTATCTATCTATCTATGTATTTCAGTCTGTTGAAATCTATCTATGTATCTATCTATTTCAGTCTGTTGAAATCTATCTATCTATCTATCTATCTATCTATAAATACGAACAGATTACGATAGATAGATAGATAGATAGATAGTAAACACTTACAAATTCTAATGCTTCGATTAGACGTAAATTTCTTGAACGAGCTTGTTTTATTATCTCTGTGTTAACTATCTTCTGTGCCGTATTTAATTATCTGTTGACCTGTTTGTGTAAGCATTTTTCGTTGGGTTTTCGGGCTGTCGTATGCCGACCGTGTCGCCCACCTTCTGGGGTCTGCGCCAAACGACACATCGTAGCGGGGTACAATTGCACCGCAATTCTAGCGTCTGTCGAACGTGTCAAAATGTGCTGTCGATTATCATATTTATTCTCTTCATGCTATTCTTTCAACAGATGTATGTCCCAGTGGGCGTGCCACTTTAAACAACACTCCATTACACTTATTGCAGCATGAACTGAAAATAGCCCGCCTATCTGATCTGCCCCACACCCTGTCCTTGTTTTTCATGCCGTATCAGCGGTGCGTGTCCACTTACGGTTAATGGAATCAGCGTGCGCATGCGTCATCTTAACAACTGTTATCAAATATTTTCGGAATGTCCAAGTGTATGTCACTTCAAATTCCATTGACATGGGGTTATAATTATCGCCCTTATGCATACATACATATATATATATATATATATATATATATATATATATATATATATATATAGTCTTAAGGTGTGCTATATTTATGGGACAAGGGGCTCAATATCAGAGATAGAGCGTGTGTAAATATAAAAATGAACATAGAAGTCGACACTTAGAGGCGACAGTCTGTTTCATGCTAGACACAATGGTCAGGCCTGACAATTGCGTTTAACAGGAACAGACTGTCGCCTCTATGTTGACTTCTATGTTCACTTTTATATATATATATATATATATATATATATATATATATATATATATATATATATATATATATCAGCGTTTGATTTTAGAATTAAACAACATTTACCCCCAGAATTTTAAATCCGGCCGCTAACAAAAGCCAACTAGTGAATACATCCGGGTCATCTATAGCGGAACACGCTATAACTAGCAGGGAATGTGTTGCTGGTTTGACTGTTTTTCCATTCTGGCGAAGTCACACTCTGCATATAATTTGAAGGTTCTTGAGTCCATTTAAATCAAGTCCCGCAGGCCGTTTCTCTGTAAGCAGAGAGATTGCTTGTTGGGCTTGAATGTGATTAGGCTCTAGTTCTTTCTATCATATATAAAAAAATTTTTTTTTTCCCTTTTCCCCCTCATTGAATGTTTTTTTGTTTTTAAGTTTTTGATTAAATAATCCCAGTGTATCAAACTTGAGGAGTACTGGGACGAAACCGGTTGTTTGTTTTAGTTCTTAGTTTTTCATAATTATGTCATTTACATTCCGCTTATTCCTTGCCATAATATATATATATATATATATATATATATATATATATATATATATATATATATATATATATATATATATATATATATATATATATATATCCGATGCGATGAGAACGAAAGTAATATGTCAATTCTAACGTTCTCCTTTCTCGAATATTCTTCACTCCACGCTCCTTCTGGCTCGCTTCTCAGTGTTTATAATCTACGTATTTCTTTTCCCATTTCAAAGCCTGAATTAACCGATGACCTCTTGTTAGTTATTAGTTAATTTGCCTTTATTTTACGTCATGATTTTCTAACGCGTTAATGAATGTAAGATAATTTGGGTTATGAAGAAGCTTGAAAGTTTTTTCAATATATTTCTTCCCTTTCATGTAAATATTGAAGGTCTGCAATATGTGTGTGTGTGTGTTCGTTTTTTAACGCTGATATTCCGTCTATTTTTCGTCTATTCTGGGGTCAAATATCGGGTCACCATGACATCTGACCTTCTATCCCAGGGGCCAAGCTGACAGTGATCATTTCTCGGCTAGCATTCTGCCATAACTTCCACATGATTGTAAACAATATTTGCGCCTATGCTAATGAGATACTTTTATTAAAATCTGTGTAACATTTCTGACCAATCGGGATTTTTTAAAATTTCCTTCTGACTATCGGTGTTTTTTTTTTAACCAATCAGAGAGAGAGGTGAATTTAAACTGTATTACAAGTTTGTTTCCTTAACCCTAGAACACTAACCATCAGTATATAGTAAGTACACTGCGCCAATTTTGTTATTTTTAATTACAATTTTCAGTACCTGATTTTCTTGCTTAAATATGTTTTTCATTTTCTATTAATGTTAATTTAAAGTACAAAGTTTGAAGTGCCTACATGTAAAATATTTCAAACAAAGATTTATATTTAATATTTTTTTTTGATATATTCAAAATCGGGTATGATATAACCATGGTTAGTAGTGGTGTAAATTTAACCCTAGAACACTATGTGTATATATTTGTCTATTTTTAATTACAATTTTCAGTACCTGATTTTCTTACCTAAATAATATGTTTTTCAGTTCCTATTAATGTTAACTCAAAGTACAAAGTTTGAAGTGGCTGCATGTAAAATATTTCAAATAAAGATTTATATTTAATTTTTTTTTTTGATATTTTCAAAATCGGGTATGATAGGAGTAACTTTAATTAGTGGTTAGTGTTCTAGGGTTAAGTTTGAATATAGTCTATTTCTCCCTTGTCTGTGCGCTGTTTTAAATCGGAGCGCTCAATAACGCCAGCCTTGTGTCAATGGCGGTTTCCTCACGCTAACACCTTCTCCTCATTGCTATGATTATTGATAGGCGTCCGTGCCAACACTGCCGTCTTCTGTCGACTGAAATGAGAGCACCTAATCAGCTTAGACAGGTGTAATTGTAGATGTCATGAAAAATTAGACGACGTAACTGGGTCTTTGTCGCTGCCCGTTTCACCGAGGCTTACGTTACCAGCTCCGTTCAGAAGCGACGATGAAGAACCGAACAATAACATCGATATTAGAAACATACACCTATATCTACGAAAGCACACAGGCTTAATTATATAAAACGTCTTTATCTGCTCCTGTACTTTCCGATGACATAACATAATTCAGAGCTGTTTCGACTGTAAATCAGTGTGATTTCTCTTTGTTCGCTTAGGTGTTCCTTCCCGCCATATCTGGTAATTACTAAGCACTTCAAATACGTCGGCGTCTGGATCGGTTGTCAAAAATTTAGCAGAGACAAAGAAACTGAACATAGAATAGGCTGCGCTAGAGGTAGTTTCTCTGAACGTCGCTAATTTGTTTAAAAAATAAAACCAAAAAAAAACAAAAAAACAAAAAAACAACAAAAAAAAAAAAATAAAAAATAAAAAAATATAAAAAAAAAAAGTTAGCCTGAAAACTTGTTTCAAGTTCTTTAAATAGGGGCCACCTTGAGGGAATACCAGTTCGTTGAGATAGACAAATATTCGGGGTCATTTTGGTGATGAGAGAACGTTACCAGTCTAGCTTTGAAGGGATTGAATTTGACCAGCCAGTCCCCACATATTGTGTTGTTATCTCACACGCTCTTTATGCATCTCTCGAACTTAAACTCTTCCCAAACAAATATATATATATATATATATATATATATATATATATATATATATATATAAGCAGGTTGCGATAGATAAATTACAAAACTTAAACTCTTCTCTTTCACTCAAACCTATATATATATATATGCAGGTTGCAATGGATAAATTATCGTCTAAATGACGCCAAAATGAAAGCAATACTGACATGTTATTTTAACAGATATATATATACCAAAATTATAACACTTAAACACTTCTCTTTCACTCAAACCTACATATATATATTAAATTTAATTAAAGTAAGTAAAGTAATTCAATTTAAAGTAAGTAAAGTAATTCAATTTAATTCAAATAATTATATTGAAGTTTTCGGCTCTTGTTTTGAAACATGTGAACTCTTATGTAGCGTGTTGGAATCATATTTTTAAATAAATAATATATATATATATATATATATATATATATATATAAAGTGTGTAAAAGCTGTCCAAATGTTCTGTAATTCCGAGCGCTTTCGGCTATACTTTTAGCCGTTATCAAGGATGACTTTATTTTTGCTTCTAGATATAGGTAATATAACTAATTAATCGCTTCCATTATTATCTGATGTAAAAACAGGTTAAAATCTGTTTTTACATGAGAATGAAGTTATGTTTGTATTTTCTCTTCATATGTTTCGGATGGAGTCTGGTAAGTTTACGTGTGTGTGTTTAAATGGGTTCTAATGGAGCTGTTGTCGGAGAGGTGTAACGTAAGTCGTCTGGATAGGCATGTAGTTGTGTGACCAATGTAATTATTTATGAATTCGGTTTGATCAGGAACACAGTTTCTTAAGGGGCATTTGAACTTATAGATAATGTTCGCTCGTTGTAAATTCTATTTGCTGGTGTATTGTTATTTTTGAGGATAAGATTAGCTGTTTTAAATTTTTTGTAGTAGATAATTAAGTCTTTATTCTGGTCAATTTCTTTATGATATAAATAATATGTATTTCTTTATGATATTTCCAAGTGAAGATTCGTCTTGTTTATAGATGACGTGCATTTGGCTTTTGTAGAAAAATTTTATGCTATTTTGACTGTGTGTTCACTATCTTTATTATTTACTTTGGGAAGAAATAATCTAAT